AACAAATGTACTGAAGAATTTATGGTATATTGGAAATGTTTTTGACTAATTAAAAATACAAATTTTCTTTTGAAAATTAGGTCGTTACAACTAAGATAGTACATTCACATGAGAGTAAAGTTGTAAGTAATGTCACTAGATTCTTCACATACTTTGTCGCAATATTTGTTCTGTTATTAAAGAAAAATGATGATTTTGTTGATTTATAATACATCGAAGGGTAGAAAATAGCTTATTCTAAAATGACTATAACAAACACTGATGGTGAGGGATGTGCGGTATAATGATGGTGGTATAGTATTCATCGTGATAGTGAAGGCTACAGCTTCTAATGGTGGTGGAGGCGGTCGTTAGGATTAGGTTTGTTGAAAGAATGGGGAAAGATTTTTAAAGGGTGTCGAAATGGTGGAGGTATATCACATGTACCTTAGGAAGAAATGTATTGGTAAGAAAAGAAATACCCAAACCTGAAGCAATATAACTAGTGGACAAGGGCGCTAGAATAGGATAATGAAGTTGACACTTTCAAAATATAAAAAGAAGATATAAATAGAAAATTAGGGTTCATGAATGGGAGCGAGATACAGATTATTGTATAAAAATGGTAAATGTATTCAAAGAGACCTATCTATGATGGTAATTTCACGATGGAGAAGAAGAGTGATGAAATTTCTTAATTTTCTTCTGGTTTTTCTTTCATTATGTTTTTAAGAGAGGGAAAAGGAAGAAAATGGAAAGTAAGAACAAAAGGAGGTCAGGGATGAGATAAATCATTGGTTGTAACAACCTATATTGGAAAACATGTGTTTATGTAAAAGAAAGCCAACACAAACTTATGGTGACTCATTACTGAAAAAAGAGGGGCAGTGATTAACCTTCACGCGCTCTATCACATTTCTCCTTACTTGAAATGAAAGGCTTTCAAAATAAAGATAATTGTTGACTTACAGCTTTAAAAAATCATCAAAAAAACTCATTATAATTCCATGAAAATTCCTTCAAGAGAGAGAGAGAGAGAGAGAGAGAGAGAGGTGGGTTCAATTGAGAAAATAAAAAAGGTTAAGAATGAGAGAATCATTCTCAGTCACTCATTTAATCTAAGCATAAAAACACACGGTGGCAAACTTGTAAATATGTTAATAACAAATGTACTGTAGTAAAAACCTGATTCATTTTTATTCACTTATTAATAACAATAGCTGGAAATATTTAAAAAAAAAATAATTTTAAAACTATATTAATATGGATGTCTATTTGTAGAGAATAAAAAATCATGAATTTTGATATATTTAAAATAATTTTTCGATAATAATAGCTTCTTAAAAAAAAAAAATCTATGTTTTTGTATATATTAAGGTAGTGCTTAGAATAGTTTAACTAAATATGTTTTGTTGGAAAACACATATCTATTCCTTTCTCATTTCCGCTGGTCCGATGGAGGTTTTTGCGGCAAAAATAAATGAGTGGCTGAGAATGATTACCGAATAATCATATTTGAATAATAAAAAAATATATATATGTTTGAATAATCATATGATTTATTCAAAACGGAAAAGACATATTCATATATAAATCATTTGTGATTATTCTCATTTCTAATAATTCATATATGATTGTCGAGTAATTATATATGAATAAAAAAAATCTCAAGATCTCTACTTTTTCAAAATTTTATATATATATATATATATATATATATATATATATATATATATATATATATATATATATATATATATATATATATATGTTCAGGTTCATTTGAGACCATTCTAATTTTTGAAATCGTGAGATCAAATCTAAAAATAATTTTAAAATGCAAAATAAATGGAAAAATCCAAAATTTTTTTTTTTAAATATTATTTTTGGAACTTGAATTAACTAAAAAAAAATTTTAAAATAAAAAAAATTCCGTTTTTTTTTTAAAATAAGTGAAATATTCTAAATAAAATATTACACTGACATATTCTAAAAAAATAATTTTAAAATGCAGAATAAATGGGAAAATCTAAAAATTCTTTTTTTAAATATTATTTTCGGAATTTGAATTAACTAAAAAAAATAAAAATAAATTCCATTTTTTTTAAAATACGTAAAATATTCTAATAGAATATTACACTGACATATTCTAAAAAATAATTTTAAAATGCAAAATAAATGGAAAAATCCAAAAAAAAAAATTTAATATTATTTTTGGAACTTTAATTAACTAAAAAAAATAAAAAAAATGCGTCTCACGATCTCACAAAATTAGGCCGTCTCACATGAACCATATATATATATATATATATATATATATATATATATATATATATATATATATATATATATATATATATATATATATATATATTCAAGTTAGGTAGCTCTATTTGAAAAAAATAATCTAGTTTGTTATTTGTTATTTACACCACAAAACTAGTTTATGTTTGCTTATGAACTAACTTATAAAACTAGTTTTTAATAAGTTCTTTCTTTTTTTAGTTATATATGTAAATATTTATTATATAACCAATCTAGCTTTTAAGTTTTTTTTTTTTTTTTATCAAACTCTATTAATTTACAAATCAGTTTATGAGCTATCAACTAGATTATCAGCTACCAACTAGATTATCGATCACCAATTATTTTTTTAATTAAATAATAACTTTTCAGCTAATTTGATAAACATGGCAAAGTTAACCAGCCTTTTGCTTATCCACACGTTTCATATTAAACCACACTATATATATGAATCGTGAAAAGTTTGTTTTTCCTTATTATTATATCCACATGTAGAATTGATATTTCAGGACAAAGTTGATTATCTCTTTTTATCATCATAATAAAGGACGGCCATTCTATTTTTTTACAATTAATATGTAATAGAGGACTGGCTATGAGTTATTTTGATAATTTTCGTGTCACATAAAAGTTTATATCAGTAAATTATACTTTTTAAAACGACTGAGAAATGTTCTTTTAATTTTCTTTAAAAAAAAATTGTAAATATTGAATATTATAGATGAATTGGCACATTATCTCCAAAAATGGACTAACTTGCGGGAAAAAAACAAGTCACAAAAAGGATGCCAAAGGTGGTGTCAAAAGGAACCTCCTTTTCTCTATTCCTGGTAAAGACTTGAGACAATTTTTGTACGTTTTTCAACTTTAGATGATAATCGATCCTCCTTTCCTTTCTTTATTTTCACATTAGATGTAGTCGGTTTGATTATTTATTTTTACGGCTTGAAAGACAGATAACATAATTGAACAAAACACCCCGATGCATTAATACCTCAAATATTAATTTCAATATATTTACGTAAACCATATGAAAGTGTATTTGTTTGTTATTTTTAATATTTGAGAATAAATAAATACAATTCGATTAAACTGACCATATTTTTCATTTCTTCACATCTGAAATGTTATGTTGTAGAGAATTATTATTCATTATTTGACTCTATAGTCGTTTAAACATATCAAGCATAGCTACTCCTTGGGAGGGTTGTGGGCAGCCCCCATGAATATTTTTTTATTGGTTTAGAAACGGAATAAAAACACTTCGTGGGAACTTTGGTCAGCTTTTTCTGAGTTTGACCATATTAGAAGTTTTATGTCAAAACTAGTATTCATATTTCCTAAATTCATACAACCTAAAGCATTGTGTTCGTCATGAACATAACTATATGAACCATATAAATTGATTATGTCTTTGTTTTTATTTATATTTATTACTCTGTTGAAGAAATACCCAAACATCTTCCATCAATTTTTTAAACTTGGATATCATATAACAAAAAGAATATAAAAAATACGTGTTTTTACAAAAAAAAAAAAACGTTTATCCATATTCCATATTGTAATAGCACACAATCTAACAGCTGTGGACCTATGCCAATTGGTGTATCGCATTTTTCAACTAAAATTAAAGAAATTATAAGATAACATATTTTCTAACTTAAATGAAAACTCACACAGCTTGCATCAAAAAATATATATAGTTAAATAATCTATAGAACACCCACGCCCATAATTTTAATATTATAACGGTCGAGATCTATTTTTCTTTCGTATTCCTAACAAAACAAAATTACAAAATTCAATAATGGTGTCAAATGAATTACAAAATGTCAACAAATTTGAAACCAATAAGCTAATAAACCAAAAAACAATTCAAGATTGAAGATCGACAGAGAGTTGACTGAGATTATATTGACCATAAACCAACAACCATGTGGATTACTTGAATGTGATAGAAAATTAAGGCATATTTGGTAGATTAGTTGGGATTGGACCATTATATTAGCTTTTTCTATTTCAAAAAAATATAGAAAATAAAAAACCAACAATTAAACTAAAGATAAACCATTTTCATGCAATGTAAGTGTATCTTTTTTTGTTGAAACTGTTTACATGTATTTATCGAATAATTTGCTAATAAATTTGCTGCACTAATATGAATTCTTACTTCTTAGTTACCCGTATTTTCCTTATTTGTTTATTTATTTTTTAACAGAAAGAAAAACGTATCAATAAACAACTAGCAAACTACTAGGGAACTAGGGATTAGAAAACAGATTCTATCGGATTATCCAACCATCTATCCCACTCCATGAAAACAAACTGCTTAATTCTATACTTAATCCAAGAAAAGCGGAGGTCTTGACTTAAAAAATGATATGTAGAAATGATCCTCTTTATCTTGTTGTTGGAAATCACCATGTTCCTACTTAACCACAAAACCCACATGTAAGCTATTTTGGTAACCCGAATAACCACATATGTCTTTTTCCTAAATCTCCCTATAGCCGTGTCTTTAATCCAGGATTCGAAAAAGTTCTAGTGGACTGCAAAATCCTTCCACCACGAATGAAGCAAGGCTCTCTCAATGTTGTTGAGGATTGATGAAAATGTGTGAGGCTGATTCCTTATTAGCACTGAAATTAGGACACAAGTTGGAAGATATGCTGACTCCTCTTGCTATGAGGCTGTTACGAGTGGGCAATCTAGCAAATTTAAGCTGCCATAAGAAAATATTGATTTTTTCTCGGCAACGACCCAACCTTTGAGAAATTTTCTTTAATTCCATATAGAAATTCCTCCATTGTTTCGAACACCTTGACGTCCTTTTCAGACTTGGCTGCCAACTGTTTGGTGCACTCGTTATTGATTTCGACCAAACGAATGATGGCACCAGTAATAACATCGACTTTGTCTTGTAGCAACTTATTATTGTCTTCCATCTTCTTCACTTCTTTTGTCATCAAGGATTTTATCTCAACAACCTTAACAACAAGAGACTCCTTCATTTCTTTGAGCGATTCCATGAAAAGGTCATGACAAGCCTTAGCGGCATCACGAAGCTTCTGTATTTTGTTATCATAGCTCTTTGAATGAAAAGCTAAACATTTTGCTTATTTCTGCTCAATATCCACTATCAAGGTTCGCAACCGAGAATCTTGAGCTTTTATCAAGTAATTCATTTCGATTCCAGTCACATAATGTTTTCCTCTAGTATCTGGTATAATTTGAATAAGATAATTGATCTTTGAGTTGAGGACCTTGAATTGTTAACCTGACATGATTAAATCATCAGGGATATCTTCTTCTTCTAGGTTGAATTGAATATCAGCAAACAAAACCATGACATGTTCATCATCAGGTTTGTTTCCTTGAAGTGATTTCTCTGTAGATTGGGATGAGAAGAGAGTGGTGATAGGCTCATGCATGGCACCAAGAAATGTTGGTGAGATAGTAGAAGCTAGAACAGAAGTAGGTATGGGTGATGTTGGTGGTGGTAAAACCATTGAAGTTGCCACAGAAGATTCGATATGAATCATCCAGTCATCCATGTTGACATTTGTGCCTTTATTAGATAAGTCCACAGTGATGTCTGGAATTTCCACCTCCTCCCTATGGGACTCGGTACTCTAAACCCCTGATGGTATGCCCAAAGTCTTCTCAGGGATATTGTTTTTTAATTGATCACACAAATTGATGTTTATATCCATATTAGATACGTTTACAATGACATCAGGAATACTTGTCTCCTCAAAATTCGATATGAAATGGGTATCCTTTTGTAGTGAACCAATATGTGATTTTTCAGTTCGAATGTCTGGCCTGTCTCTATCACTATCATTTTCTGTTTCGATAGTCACATTCGCAAGTGGAACACTAGCTGCAAGTTTTCTCTTCTTTAACTTTTTAGCCATGCCTATAACTTGACGCTTCTTTGAGGTTGGTGATCTAGGAACCAAAACCTCAGGAAATAGAACACCCTTTCTGGTAAAACGTGGCTTTGTAACTTTCTTTGAACCACCCTTAGAAGAAACAGGATTGGAGGGTTCGACAATACCGGGTTCAACACTTTCGACTACTCGCTCGTGAGTTACTCCTTGATTGGAGAATGAGAAGGCTTCTTAGCTGATTTCTTAATTCGCTTAAGAACCCAAGATTTCGATGGGATGGTTTCTTTTATAATCTCCTCCTCCACCACTTGTGATTGTTTGACTGGTTTCTTCTTCTTTAGAGCCTTAGAGGCTTTTGATGTTCCTTCTACCCTTTTTTGACAAGCCTTGGTGGAAGCGCCCCAATTTGATTAGAAGAATAAATGGAAGCCAAATATTGTACTAACAACTGATGTTTAGGATCCACGAGCTTGAGCATCGAATCCAGAAGGCGAGCAACATTGGTAAAAATAGTAGGATCATCCATAAAAACCCTTAGAGCATCCATTATTGGAAACTCGGTAGTTTCGACACTAGATGGAACATGAATGTGCTCTTAATTATAAACCTCTTGTAGAATTAAGCCCCAAAATCGAGCACTCAACACACCAGTTACTAGCTTCATGTGATAGGTTGAGATTCCAAACTCTTACCATAGAAGTGGTGCATAGTCGACATCCATACCATAGTATAATCCCACCATTACAGAGTATACTTCAAGCTTGGCTTTATCAAGCCCAAAGCTTCTTCCTGTCAAGCACCTCAGAACTATCCCGAACAAGAAAGTCCAAACACAGGGAAGATGGGACTTCTTAAAATGGCTAATGGTAGTGAGAGTAAGTTGATGCCCTATTTGATTAAACATATGAATGACTTAATCATTCGTGACTTCATAGAAGGTACCTGGAATTAGTAGCCTCAAAATTTACGAAAATTGTTTCTGAGTGAGCTTCTTGGTCTCTGAATTCGAGAGCTGAAACATGACCATCTTGGTTGTTTTGTTGAAAACTACAGTTGAAGCAACAAGAGAAAGTCATTCCATAGGGATTGCAAAAGTTGAAGAAAGTGCAAACAATAATACATAATTATTCAAAGTTTGAACAAGCATCTGTAATTCCTCCGGGTATTGATCAAGGGATGGAACTAGACGAAGATTAGTGGTTTGGATCTTCATTATAGATTGCAAGATTTCTTCATCATTAGTTGATGGCTCAGTGTTTTGACGAGAAGCAGCCAGTGCTGAGAATTTTGGAGAAATTTAAAAGTGATGAACATTTAGGGTTCTTGAGGTTTGATCAGAGAGCATAAAGTTTGATAAATAAATCATCATCTTCCTTTTATAATCCGTGTTATTTTTGAATTTGAACTGGTATCGAATAAGAAAACGCCACGTATTGTGTTAGTTACTTAATTGGCACCGTAAAAATCGCCACGTCGTAAAAGTGATCATCATGTTCACCTTGATTCCTGTGAAAATCATGAACTATCACTTCCATTGGATCATTCAGTGTTCCCAATTAGATAAGAACCATTACTAGTTTCATTCCTCAAATGAGTAAGACATGTGTTTCAATACATAGGTAAGACCAGTCCGTCAGCTTGGAGGCTGGGCTTTCACTTTTGGGATTTGGAAGTGAAATTATATGCTCGACTTTGCAAAATCTTAGTTTTGAGTTAGTAATACCCAAAACCTCAAGGCTTTCGGTTCTTTCGTGTGCTAAAGAATGAGATAGAAGAAAGTAAAATAAAATATGGATGTCGTGATATCAAAAATGCTTTTGATATAAAAGCAAATTGATCTCTGGCAAAGATCTCCTCATTCGACATCAAGAGACATGAAGAATTGCTTGTGCAGTTTTACATGAACTACAATCGAATACCTGTTGATGAGTATTGAAGGGCTTCTTTTTCTTTTGGTTTCGAAGGTGGCTTCAATTTTACATAAGGTTACAACTTAACATAAGTGTGATTCAGTTGTGCAAAATTACTTGGATGACTAGTGTAGTCAAGAACAAGTATCGTTGGTGATGATTAGAAGTGAAAAAAGTTCAGAGAAGATACTCAATCAGAAATCTCATTCCAAAAAAATGAAATATTGGAAATTTTTGGGCAAAAACATCTTGGGATTGGAACATTTTATCAATATCATGCAATACGAATGGAAATGATATTTTGAATATGGAAATGGTACAAAAACAAATGTTTCGTGAAAATCTTAAACAAAGTTGTTCACCGTTAATTCATTTCAGTTAGGTTTGTTGGGTTTCATCATCATCACTGAAGAACGAATCAGAATCATAAACATAGAGTTGTGACATATCTACATTATGGTAGCTTTTGATCAGAGTTGTCGAGGATATGTAGTGTAGTGTGTGATCATGAACAAAATTTTAGGTGAAAAAGATTTAGTAAAGGAACTCATTGTACCTCTGCTATAAATTTAACCAAGCAGAAAACTCTTAACTCATCATGAGAAGATCGAGGTAGCTCATCGAATAATGTGAATACAACCTTATTGGGAAGAAACTTTCGTGGGATAAGTTTTATTAAGACTTCGAACACAAAGAGTCTTTGAGGCTTTGATGACAACATGCTTCTAGCAATACTTAACTAGTACATAGTTTAGAATAGTTTTCAAAATACTAAAGGAGGATGCAAAGTGTACGATCAGCCGATGCCAGTAAGTAGACCCCAAAATACCATATGGATATTTGATATTGTCATATGTTAGAATAGTGTGCTAGTGGTAGGCTAGGGATCTTCAGGAATTGCATGATAGAATTTCCTTATTATATGATGCCCGATAGCCTAGGGTTTTCCTTATATGAAATTGACATCATTACTATAGTTGCTTAGTGTATGCATCATAGTTGTACATAATTAAGACCTTATAGCCTGAGAATGTTTGGTTCCTTATTTCATGTTCTTGTTTGATGAAGTTCTTAGGGTAGGATTAGATATTTGAATGTCTATAGGGTCCAGCATTATGTATGACTAGCATACACGAGTGTTGCACGGTTGGTGGAAGTTTCATAGATGAGTTGTGCAGGGCCAGTCGGCTAGTTATGAGATATTTAGCCTTCCTCTAGGAGTGATGATTGAGCGCTTATCTATGCTTATGTATCTTGTTAGGGCGTTGTGATGATACTTGATGCAAATATGGGTATGTGTGGAAGGTAGTATGGGTCCGTACTACTGAAAGCACATGACCCATACGCGTAGCGAGGAAGTCACAACCCTTAGGGTTTTGGTTGGGAGTTGGTTCCCCGTTATTATATGGGATGTCTGATATCTTCCTGGTATATTTTCAACATGGTGGTTACGAGGCAATTTGTAACCGGATCTGGGTCAGGATTAGGAGCTGGTAATCAGGGTGGACCAACAGTGCCCGAGGCCATTATTCAGATAAGGCTAGATTAGCTAGATGTCAAGATTCGGGAGATTCTGGACGATGAGGTTGCTGCACTTTTTTGGACCGAGTTTCCAAAGGTGTTTGGGTCTATTAAGACTGCCATGGTTGAATACTTTGATAAGCGTTATGCAGCCATTGCTGAGACGGTTGTCGTTGCAGCCTCAACAGCTATAGAAGCCGCTGGTGGTGGGACCAGTCAGGATTTTTAGTACCGTGACTTCGATAACACGAAGCCCCTGACTTTTGATGGAATTCAGGAGCATCCTCTGGAACAAGTAGCCACACAAATAACTTCCTTATAGGCTATTAAAAAGTTTTAAACCATATAGGCTACACAATTGTGTTTTTCCACATTTCCATGATAATTTTTCAACATTTGATATTATGTTCATGTTAATCTATTTATGTATGTTTATTTATCTGGTTTTGTAAACCCATGTTTACTTGTGAACATTTGATATTGATTACCGAACACATATAAACATGACAAATTATGGGATTTTGTAATTATATATATATATATATATATGTGTGTGTGTGTGTGTGTGTGTGTGTGTGTGTGTGTGGAAGGTAGTATGGGTCCGTACTACTGAAAGCACAGGACTCATACGCGTAGCGAGGAAGTCACAACCCTTAGGGTTTTAGTTGGGAGTTGGTTCCCCGTTATTATATGGGATGTCTGATATCTTCCTGGTATATTTTCAACATGGTGGTTACGAGGCGATTTGTAACCACATCCGGGTCAGGATCAGGAGCTGGTAGTCAGGGTGGACCAACAGTGCCCGAGGCCATTATTCAGATAAGGCTAGATTAGCTAGATGTCAGGATTCGGGAGATTCTGGACGATGAGGTTGCTGCACTTTTTCGGACCGAGTTGCCAGAGGTGTTTGGGTCTATTAAGACTGCCATGGTTGAATACTTTGATAAGCGTTATGCAGCCATTGCTGAGACGGTTGTCATTGCAGCCTCCACAGCTATAGCAGTCGCTGGTGGTGGGACCAGTCAGGATTTTTAGTACCGTGACTTCGATAACACGAAGCCCCTGACTTTTGATGGAATTCAGGATCCAATCATAGCCATGAGGTGG